CATCTGAACCGAATCTTAGGGCCAAATAGGAACTATCGGGTAGAAATGAAGAATCGGTATTTCATTTGAGGAATGAAAGGTGTATGTGAAGGTACTGAGATGCCAGAAGGCAGAGGATGTTCAGAGAACCACAGGAAGTCCAAGCGACAGAAGTAAAGCTGGCAGAAGGTTAGAGTGAGCTCGTAAAGGCAGGCAGAGGTGCTGCAGGCCTGCCTTCTAGGAAAGGGTTGTGGAGTTGAGTCATAATTAGTACATTACGACAAGAACGGCTATGTCTGTGGTTTGTAATATGTTTTCTAAGCGCTGCCCTAAGTGTTTTATCTGTGGTATATCAGTGAATTTTCATAGGAACCCAATGAGGTGAAGACAGTATCATCTCCATTTCACAGAAATAAGCTCAAAGAAGTGAAAGAACCTGCCCAGGGCACCCTCCTGTTTCAGGGGCAGAGCAGGAATCTGAACCCAGGTCTTTGTGATTGCACAATCCATGGTCTTTCCACTATACAGAAAGGTTGTTTAAATTATATTCAGTGGTGGGGGGTGGGGGGATGGGTTAGCGTGGTGATGGGTATTAAAGAGGGCAGAGGGCATATTCTGTGTGGAGTACTGGGTGTTATGCACAAACAATGAATCATGGAACACTACATCAAAAACTAATGATGTAATGAATGGTGATTAACATAACAATAAAAAAGGGAAAAAATTATATTCAGTGGTATATTATGAGAGATAACAGAAGTATAGAGTATGTTTTAGAAAGATTTCCATTCAGAATGGTTCATATAAAAGCTTTGGTGTGAAAACCTTACTTCTCTGGTACCCTTTTCTTTAACCAGATCAGATTTAGGGATCTCGGTCAAGTTAGTTCAGAAGAACATCAGATGGTATCATGGTTACAAGTACGGGCTCTGAAGCCAGACCGCCTGCATGCAGATGCTAGCCCTGCCACTCCTAACACATATGACTCTGGAGCTCAGTTTCCTCGTCTTTAAAATGGCAGTAATGTGGCACCTGACTTGCTCAGTCAGTAGAGCATACAATTCTTGATCTCTGGGTTGTGAGTTTGAGCCCCATGTTGGGCAGAAAGGTTACTTTAAAAAATTTCTAAGTTGAAAAGATAAAATGGCAGTACTAATGGAATTTACCTCATAGGGTTATTGTAAGGTTTAAATGAATTTCTACAGGTAATGCTTTTATACAGCATCTCCTACATAGGATTAGTATCAATGAGGCAATTGGATTCTTATCATCAGAAGAAGAAAGCCAGTTTTTTGTGGGGTTTTTTTGTTTTCTTTTTGTTTTATTGGGGGGGGGCGGTGCAGAGGGAGAGGAAGAATCTTAAGCAGGCTCCACACCCGGTGTGGAGCCCTATGCGTGGCTCAGCCTGATGACCCTGAGTTCATGACCTGAGCTGAAATCAAGAATTGGATGCTTAACCAACTGAGCCACCCAGGAATTCCTTGTTTTTGTTTTTGTTTTAAGGTTTCATTTATTTATTTATTTTAGAGCAAGAGATAGCTTGTGGGCGTGGGCATGAGGTGCGGGAGGGACAGAGGCGGAGGGAGAGAGAATCTTGAGCAGACTCTGCACTGAGCATGGAGCCCAACACGGGGCTCAATATCACGACCCTGAGATCATAACCTGAGCCGAAACCAAGAGTCTTAACCAACTGAGCCAGCCACCCAGATACCCCAAGCCAAGTTTTATTTTTAAGCTTTACAAGTTATGTTTTGCCTTAGGCCCTAAATGTTTTATCCTTTAAAAAATGTTCTTAGACTAGAGTTTTGAGTGGGCTTGAAGAGGGATTTTCATCAGATTGTCAAAGAGTTCTATTTCCCAAGACTTAAGCATGACTGCTTTATAAAGAGCATTATTAAGAAGTTGCTCTTTGAACGGTCTTGATACTGTGGTATATGTCATCAAACACTTAAAAGGAGCTTCTGGCTGCACAATTACAACATTGTGAGTCACACTTAGTAAGTGGATTTGTTGGCAGTCATTTGCTAGTAATAATAAAGTATCCAAGTTTTTGAAATATTACTTTTGTATTAAGGGGAGTCCTGTTACTCCAGATGTAACCACTGTGATTCACTTGCAATACTGTGTATTTTCTTGCATTAGAAAGTCTAGAGTGGAATTACGGGCCTTGTCTTTGGAATCATGTAGAAGTGTTTTGTATGCAAAGAGATCACCCATTATTTGTATATTTCTAACTACTAAACTACATTTAGAAAAATCTCTGTGCCCTGGAGAAAGTTGAACCCTTCAGTTTGAATTCCAAACTTTCGGTCCACAGAGGGGAGTTGCATTTTGCACAGTGGTTAGGTTCTAAGATCAGCACATAAGGTGAGGATTTTAGGTGGTCCAAGTTTCCCTGAAAATCCCTTGGGAAGGCCGGCTTCACAACAAAGGCTGACAGACTCTGAGTCCGACAGAATGTCAGCCCAGTGCAGCTGGTTTCTTCTCAGCACCAGGTGAAGTCATTGGTGTAGGTTCAGGAGCCATAATTATTATTTTTTTAATTATGTTAACTACAAATATCAGAATCACATTTGAGTAGTGAGTTGCACACACTAAGAGAGACCTATAGGAACTATCTAGGAAAAGCAGATTTATGCTGTTTGTCACACTAGCTCCAAAAAATAGGTTCATGGAATCACCCAGACTAATTAATCCATCTCTCTCTCTCGCAAATAGCCAAATGTAGAACTTACATGAACTCCCGTCTGTGCAGCGCCACTCCATTGTATCTGGGGCCCAATAAAGGGGATTTGAAAGAATCAAACCTTAGTTAGAACCCTTAGAACATTTGTGGATATGCAGCTGCTCCTAAATTAATAACAAAGATGCAGCACCCAGAACTCACTTCTGTAGCATCTCAAAACAGGACTGCCTTCACCAGAATACCAAAACTAGGACCTTCACTATTTAGATGAAATGGTTAAAGTAAAGGCCTTGCTGCTGTTTTCTTTATCTGGTTGAGGTCAAATGATTTTACCCTATTATCCTTGACCAACATTCCTTATTTAAATTAAAAAAAAAAAAAAAAGGCTTGTATTGGCTTTTTGGAAGCCAATACAAGAACTCACAGTTTTCCATTGTAGCCTAACAAATTACCACAAATTTGGTAGTTCAAAACAACATCCACTATTATCTCATAGCTCTGTAGATCAGAAGTCCAGACAGGGCTCAACTGGATTCTCTGCTTGGACTCTCACAAGACTGTATCAAGGTGTTGGCCAGAGCAGGGTTCTCTTGTGAGGCAAGAGGTCCTCTTCAGGCTGTCAGCAGCTTTGGTTCCTTGCAGTTGTAGAACTCTTGGCAACTGTTGTCCTCAAGTTCAAGGCCAGCAGGAGGGTGTCTGCTGTTGTGTCTCATCTCTTTCAGGGGCTCATCTGACTTACCAGGATAAGTCAGGCTTACTCAGGATGCTCTCCCTTTTGATTAACTCGTTCAACTCTCTAGGGACGTGGGGTGCCTGGGTGGCCCAGTCGGTTAAGCATCCAACTCTTGATTTTGGCTCAGGTCATGATCTCCGGGTCGTGAGATGGAGCCCCACATCAGGCTCTGCACTCAGTGCGGAGTCTGCTTAAGATTCTCCCTCCCTCTCCCTTCCCCCGCCCACTCGCGTGCGTGCTCTCTCTCTCAAATAAATTAATTCATTAATTAAATCTTAAAAAAAGAAAAAAGGTCAACTCACTGGGGACCTTAACTACATCTGCAAAGTCCCTTTTGCCATATAACAACAATCACGGGAGTGATATCCCACCATATTCACCAGTCCTGCCCACACTCACTGGGAGGGCATTATGCAGGGTGTGTACACCAGGGGGTGGAAATCTTGGGATTCTGCCTATCAGAGAAATAATACTGTAATAATGTTACCAAGTACCTCCTGAAGTGCCAGATACTGTTTGATTAATTCCCACCTTCGGGTTAAATGGTATTATCCACGTTTCACTTACCGGGAAACTAAAGCTCCGGGAAATGAAGCAGTTTGTGTTGCTAATAAGTAGTATGGTCAGGATTCTAACCTAGATCTTGTGGCATCCAAAGTCCAGGCTCTTTCCATTTTGCTATATTACCTTGCTAAATCCTGTCACTCTACCCTTCCTGCTTGTGAAGGTGTCATAATACAGTGAAGAATAAACATGCTTCAGGTAGCACAAAGCAGTTTGTTGAAGTGAGAGAGGATCGTCTTACACTGACTACCAAAGAATTGTCTTCAGTTATTTTATTTACTTCTCACATTGGACCACAAGAATGTGAGTAATAAAATAATGATAAACTACAAGTAACAGGAAAAGCAAGATCAGGAAACTTAGAAGACTAGAAATCAAAACCAGAGGAACAAAACAAATCATACATTTGGCTCTTGGCTTTCTGGTCCCAAAGTAAAGGGAAATTATATCGTTCTTTTTTTCAAAGACAAGAAAAATAACCCAGGAGAGGGTATAAGGTTTTCTCAGCATGTAGTTCTCAAAGAAACATGTAACATGGGATTGTATGTAGGAAGGATGAATGGCTTTCCAAGTAATTATCAAGTAGTTACAGCAACTTGAAAAATCTAAAAATAATTTAGCATGTGATTTTATTAAATAAATATAATTACAAATGAAATATAATTAAAAATTATCCTGTTTAAGAAGCTGGTTAGGGGGCGCCTGGGTGGCTCAGTTGGTTAAGCGACTGCCTTCGGCTCAGGTCATGATCCTGGAGTCCCGGGATCGAGTCCCACATCGGGCTCCCTGCTCAGCAGGGAGTCTGCTTCTCCCTCTGACCCTCTTCCCTCTCGTGCTTTCTATCTCTCATTCTCTCTCTCTCTCAAATAAATAAATAAACAATCTTTAAAAAAAAAAAAGAAGAAGCTGGTTAGGGGTTTAGAACTCTTCCCTTGATGAAAAAGTATAGGTCGCTCTTCTGTTTTGTAACCATGGATTCAGGGTTACCCAATTTGTGTTCTAATGAAGTCTTACCCTGTTCTATTTTTGTCTCACTAGCCAAAAAAGAAGAACATGTCAGCCTACCAGGTGTTCTGTAAAGAGTATCGCGTAACCATCGTGGCTGACCATCCAGGTATAGGTAAGAACATTTCCGGTCTTCGGTTTTGTTACTTTCCATTTGTATCTCTGCAACAGTGCGGTTAATTCAGCCTATCAGCAGGCAGCTTCTTCCTATCGTTATAACACACATCTCATTTTTCCCCTCGGTTCTGAAGTCACTTTAGATTTTGTCTTCGTCCACCCCATCCATAAAAGAGATAAGCTTTCTGTTTATAGCTTTTAAACTGATAAAATGGGGAACTGAATAAAATTAAATGTTCTGAAGCATAGTACTAAATCCTCGGTTGTTTGTTTCCAAGATCCTACAGCTGACCTTTTCCTTAATCTGGCCCTTGGGTGTGAGTTACAGCGAGAAGACTTACATTGCTCATATTTGTCTCTGTGTCAGAAGTTAGTGAGGTGAGAAAAACACTCCGCCACAGACCTTGACAAGTCACTTCACCTCTACAAATCTCATTTGTCTAATGCGGACAATAACTTCCCAACCTGCACATCAAGGTTGTTGTGAGGCACCCATGAAGTACCATAAAAGATCTGAGTGCTTTATAAAGCATGACCTTGCTGTACAAATGGAAGGGCAACATTGCACATCTAGAGGACTGCTCAAGGGAAATTCTTTGGTTCTGTGCCCTCAAAACTCGGTAAAAATCTAACAGCTTTTATCAAATTCTACAGAACAGGTTTTCTTTAACCTAAGTTGATAAGCTCTGTAAAAATGAGATCGAATTAAAAGACACCAGAAAGATGTTTAAGGGATAAATCCCTGGAGAATAGATGTGTGAGAATTTGAGCCTGTCTCATGACCACTAAAATAGCCCCTTCCCTCCCTAGAGAAAAGAATTAAGAAAAGTGATGGGGTTTTAGTTTGGTTTTCTGAAAGAACCTTGTGCTATTTAAATCTGAGTGGAAAATCCTTTTTCTAGTTTTTGCTCTTATCAATCTTCTGTTTGGTTTATAGTCAAGCCTTTACTGTGTTATGTTTTTTTACTCTTTTATGCCAGATTTTGGGGAACTTAGTAAAAAACTGGCTGAGGTGTGGAAGCAATTGCCAGAAAAGGACAAACTGGTGAGTACACTTCCTTACGAACACAGTTTCCATTGCTTTATGCCTTCCAAAATGTGTCATAGGAGAATGATCCAGCCAATAGTGAAAACAGCGGGGGAAAAAAAATCACAAATCAATAGAAAATGGTTTTGCAGAGGGCGTTAACACTGGCTGGTGCCAGTTTACTCTAGTGAGGATTCAGCTACAGGAAGGCTATCTTTTCTAGCCTCATCTAGTTATTTTCCAACAACCTTACATTGGAGCCAAAAGACGACCTAACTTGGGCAGTGATTAAGGGTGAAAAGAGAATCTAAAATCAGCCCTTTCCTGCAAACAGCAACTAGTGAGACCAGATCTGAGAATGGAGAAAGGTCACCTGCCTCCTGATTACTGCCAACCATAAAAATACGGGCTGTGCTCACTAGGTGAGCTGGTTGCAGGTCATCATCCTCATCGGCTATTACCAAATAATGTACCCCACTATCAACAAACCAGGAAGGCAAAGGTAACTAATCCTATCGGCATCATTCCCAGTCACTCTCCAATCAGGTGATGTGAAGGTGGTCTGGGAATTCATCTGGGTGAAATGAAAATATTTGTCACCCAGGTTAGGTTATTTTTTGTTCCCATTTCTGTGTCATTGTCATCCTCTGATTGGCGTTGCCAACCAACAGGTCAAAAGACCTGTTTGAACCCCATGGACAGCGTACTGAGCCACATGTTTACCCCATGATTTTACATTTCGACCTTCGAGTGATCTCAAAATCCATGCCGAGACCTGCCTGTTAGCACAGAGGAACATTTAGAGTCCTCTGCTAAGATATCACAGTAATTAGCGTCTGAGGCCTGCCTGTTCAGTAACTTCCAGCTTGTTAGTTGCCGTCCAGCCCCTGCCCTCCCCCCTCCAGGCTTCCCTTTTTTTCCTTCACTCTCCTCTCCCATAACTGCTTTCCCTTTTATGTCTTGTCGTTTCACTTATCATAATTTATTTGGTCCTGATCTGACTGCAGATTTGGAAGCAAAAAGCTCAGTATCTGCAACACAAACAGAACAAAGCAGAAGCTACAACTGTGAAAAGAAAAGCATCCTGCTCAGAAGTTCCCGTGAAAGTGAAAGGTAGTGATTGCGACCCTTTCTTCCCTAGAGTGTTGTGAATCTTGTTTCCTTACTAGGAATCGGGAGAGCAGTCTGTTCAGAAGCGGATCTTGATACCCAGATGTTATGACCGAATATTACAGGTTGCAAAAAAAATTTAGAAAATGTAAATCAGAAGTCAGCAAACTTTCTGTAAAGGGCCAGAGTAAATACTTTAGGTCTTGTTGTCCATACCACACTCTGTGTCACATATTCTTTATTTTTTCTACAACCATTTAAAAATGTAAAGCCAGGGGCGCCTGGTGGCTCAGTTGGTTAAACGTCTGCCTTCGGCTCAGGTCATGATCCCAGGGTCCTGGGGTCGAGTCCTGCATCGGGCTCCCTGCTCGGCAGAGAGCCTGCTTCTCCCTCTCTCTCTCTGCCTGCCTCTCTGCCTGCTTGTGCTCTCTCTCTGTCAAATAAATGAATGAAATCTTTAAAAAATAAAAATGTAAAGCCATCCTTAGCTCACGGGCTATACAAAAACAAGTCATGGGCCAGATATGGCCCACAGTCCATAGTTTTGCTAATGCCTGGTATAGCTCATAAAAGGGGGAAAAGCAGGAAGAACATTTTTGTGGTATTCCAGGCCATAGACAAGCTTTATCTCTCTATTTCATCTCTGTTCTCAGCTTCCTCTGCAGGAGTACTGTCACCCCAAAAGAAATCCCCGCCCACTACCTTGCTGTTGCCGTCCTCTCCAGCCAAAGCCCCTGAGACAGAGCCCATTGATGTCGCTGCTCATCTACAGCTGCTGGGAGAGTCCCTAAGCCTCATCGGACACCGCCTGCAGGAAACTGAGGTGAGTATAACTGTCAGCGTAGCTGGTTTCTGATAGGATGTGAGTCCGTGTACTCCTTCCACGTGCATCCATTGAGCAACTGCTGTGTGCTAGAATGTGCTAGGTGCTCAGGAGACAGTGACAAAGAAGATATATGCTAGTAAAAACGTCTAGAGATTTGGAATCTTCCTACTGGCTCTCAAAGTTTACGCTTACACCATCCTATTGAACAATGGCACAAAAAGGAGTTAGAATCTCCTATAACTTTTTTTCCCAGTTTTTATTGAGATACAGTCGACATATGATCCTGTAACTCGTTTTGATTTTTTTTTAAATGACATGGGAAAAATGAATATAAATCCCATGGAAGTTTTATTCACTTGTACTTCTAAGATGGTTGAATTTTTCTGCACATTTCCAGTAAGGTCTCGGAGAGACAGAGTAAACTATATAGGAGATTAAGAGTACCTCTACTTCTTTGAAAATAGGTGGCAAGGGGCACCTGGGTGGCACAGTTGGTTAAGCGTCTGACTCTTGGTTTCGGCTCAGGTTGTGATCTCAGGGTCTGAAATCAAGCCCCACATCAGACTCCGCGCTGAATGCAGATTCTGCTTAAAACTTTCTCTCTTTCTCCCTCTGCCCCTTCCCCCGCCCCCCTGGCCCACATGCTCTCTCTAATGCTCTCTAAAATAAATAAATAAATCTTTTTAAAAAAAAAGAAAGAAAGAAAGAAAAGAAAATAGGTAACAAATAGGGAAATTGAGATTCTCAAGCTCTTCATTACTCCACATTGAATTATACAGCACTGTGTGCCCTGGGGAGATCTTTGTCCTTTTAAGCTTCAGTTTCAAAATCACTTAACCTGCAAAGCTGTCATGTTCCATTTCTATTACCATATTCAGTTTCTAATCATATTGCCCCCCCTGGCTAACACAATAGTGTAGTATTTCAGTTTTCCACTGGGTCCTAATAGGACATTCCAGCACGTAAATCAGTCTCAGCTGCTAAAGCCATTTCTAAGCTAAGAAATCAGTGTAGGAATATAAAACTATTCACTTGCTTCTCTGTGGAAGTCGAATCATTACTCAACAAATAAAATGGCAAAAGCCACAAAAGATGAAGGTTATCCAGGTTTTTTGACTAATTTCAATAACTTTGCAGATATCAAAACAACTAGGGTATTTTCATATAGACCCAGATATTTAAATAGATATAGATATTTCCAGAGTAAAATATTCTGGGATCCTTATTTATTTTTCATATTTAGTGATTCTTAGTTTCTGAAAAGTTAGAAGTAAAAATGATTTGTTTTATACCCCTTCCATATTCCACACTTCCCCTGATATTTCATTTAGTTGAGCAAATATTTGTTGAGTACCTAGACATTCTAAAACTTGGGGGAGTAGAAAATCTGATGCTCTTCCTGATGGTTTCCTGCTGATATCATTAGGAAACTTCGAGTCTCATTGGAAAGGTAGAGCATATATATAATCTGCAACTAAAAGAAGCCGGCCTCTGTGAGCAGCTGCTTGGAGAGAGTCACACATACATGTGACCAGAAAAGGGAAAGACTTGCACGGGTTTTCCAGCCACTTTATTTTATGTAACAAATGGTCTTATCGAGATCTAATTCACACACCATAAAGTTCACCTTTTCAAACTGTAGGATTTAGTGGTTTTCAGTATATTCACAGAATCGTGGCCCCATCACTACCTAATTCTAGAACATTTTCGTTACTCCCAAAAGAAACTCTGTACACATTAGCATAATTCCCCATCCCCCTCCAGGCCGCTTTTTCCCAGACTTCAGTCACTTGCGTATATCCTCACGATTTTGCAATTTCCTTGCACCATTCACACTGTTATTTACCTTATATTTTTATTTGAATAAATCTATCCATGCTTTCACAATGATATCCTTGATGTCACAAATATGATATTCTAATATTTTTCTAATATAGTACATCACAATGGGTATGTCAAATAATTAATGTACACGTGTATGCCACCTGAAATTGCATACTATGCTTTAAGGAACATTGATTTCTACAAGTCACTCATTTATAGATTGGATACCAGGAGCCTAATAAAATTAAGTGACTATTACAAGTTGACACACTGTGGCAGAGCCCAGCATGCGTTGCTCCTAACCCTGTCTCCCTCTTTGCTCTATGCTCGCTGATGCAGTGAGAGAACAAAGAGAGTTAGTGGGAGTCAGGAGAGGTTTTGTCAAAGGGAGGTACTCTTCCAACAGGGCCTGAAAGGATCTGAGGGGTTTTGTCTCGTGGGGACTTTGGAGAGAGACCTTCCAAAACCAGAAAATGGTGCACATCCCTGTTTCTCGACTTTGCAGTCTTCTGCAGAGATGGATGAAGGGAGCCCCACTGGGGCCGTAGACCCCACTCCCACTTTAACCAGATCTTCTAGCTGTTTTATATATTGGGATTCCATATCAGGGTTTCTTTTAAGTTTTTTTTTTAAATTCCAGTTAATTGGGACGCCTGGGTGGCTCAGTTGGTTGAGCGTCTGCCTTCGGCTCAGGTCATGACCCAGGGTCCTGGGATCAAGCCCTGCATCGGGCTTGTTGCTCAGCAGGGAGCCTGCTTCTCCCTCTGCCTGTCGCTCCCCCTGCTTATGCTCTCTCTCTCTCTCTCTGACAAATAAATAAAACCTTTTAAAACAATTAAAAATTAAAAAAAATAAATTCCAGTTAGTTACCATACAGTGTAATAGAAGTTTCAGGTGTACCATATAGTGATTCAACACTTCATACGTCACTTGGTGCTCATCACAACAAATGCACTCCTGAATCCCCATCACCTATTTCACCCATCCCCCTGCCCACTTCCCTTTTGGTGACTATTAGTTCTCTATAGTTAAGAGTCTGTTTCTTGGTTTGCGTCTCTCTCTCTCTCTCTCTCTCTTTTTTAAGGATTTCATTTATTTGAGAGAGCACGAGCGAGAGGGGCAGAAGGAGTGGGAGAGAGAATCTCAAGCAGACTCCACACTGAGTGCGGTGCCCTGACATGGGGCTCAACCTCAGGACCCTGAGATCTCAACCTGAGCCAAAACCAAGAGTTGGACATTCAACCAACTGAGCCACCTAGGCGCCCCATCTTTCTCTTTTTGTTTTCCCATTGCTTGTTTGTTTTGTTTCTTCAACATCAGGCTTTATTTGAAAAAAGGGTTTTACTGCTAAAATGATGAAAATCTAGAACATCCAACATGTAAGGTGGAGGAAGGCTGAAAATTAAGGCCGTAGCCCAAATTACAGAAGGCCTTGGATGCTCTCAAAAGTTTATACTCTGCTGTGGAGGAACTACGGGGATTTTTTTTTTTTTTTTTTTTTTTTTGAGTAGGGAGGGATGTGATCAGAGCTTGCATTTGGTTTTCTCTGGAAATATCTTCTACTTAGGATTGGGAGTGAAAAGAGACGAGAACTGGGGAGACGTTATGTAACAGTAATGCAGTCCAGAAATGACAAAGATTTTAATTAATTCAACAAATATTTATCGAGGGCTTACTGTGTGCAGAACACCAGTAGTTCTTGAGAGAATATAAAAAGGAATAGGACATGATTCCTGCCCTCAAGTTGTTTATAATTCATTAGGAGAGTCAGATATAAAATATTAGCTATAATTAACTATAGGGCAAAAGTAATGGAATAATACTATTAATTGCTAACTGGTTGCTTCCTCAGCCAGCTTTGGTTCAGGTGCTTCATGTGGATTCTTTCATGTAATTCATACTGCAGCTTCATGGGGCAGAATTTGTGTTCCCCCTCTCCTACAGAAGAAAAAAACAGAGAGACTAAGTAACTTGCTCTGGAGTTCAGCCCCAAGTGCTAAAACAGAGGCCTGAATTTGGTGGCATGACCTTGAGGTCCAGGCTAATCTTAACCCCTTGCTGCACCACCTCCCTCGGGAGGAGGAGAGGGAAGCCTCCTTAGGATAGGGGGAAAAAAGAGTCAGCGATGGCAAGGCCTTGAGACTGGATAGTCGTGTGAGTGGTGATGACTTTAGCAGAGAAGGGATTCTAGGAGGAGAGGAGGTGATTTCTCTTTACAGCATGTTGAGATCTGGAAACACAGTGAGAGACCTAGCAGGCAGACAGAAATGCCGTTTGGGAGACGAAGATTTTGGTAATAATGAGAAGAACTACTGATACTTTTTGAACACTTACCATGTAACTGGGACCATCCCAAATACCTTATAGCTTTTATTTCCCTTAATCCCCTCTGCGTAGGCTCGTTTACAGCACAGCATAGGAACCATCTTGCCCCAGGACAGAAGCAGTGAGTTGGGGACCCAGCAGTCCTGAGCCCAGAGCTCATTCTCTGAAGGACTGTGCTGTGCTGTCTCCCTAGATGGCATAGTACCCCAGTGCTTCTAGATAAAGCAGATGATACCAGAGCTGGGCAGGCGCACTGGCAGCAAGCAGTCTTGTTTCTTATCTATTTGAATCACAGAGAGAGACATTATGAATTGTGCAAGATGTTAAAATTTGACATGAACTCAATTCACTTCTTTCTGAGAGTTAACAGTTCAACCCAGAAAAGTGGTATCGTCAGCTATCAAAAAGCCACGTAGGTGGAAAAGTACACGTATGTGTGTGTCACATGTTAGTTGGGTAGGGCTGTAGAACTCTCATAGTTATCACATTTGAGCTATACTCGTGGAGTTCATAAGAAAAGTACTTTTGCTCACATGACCTCCACAAATCTTCCCAGGAGCTCTCCGGAGTAGGTTAGTCTAAGTGACTGACCTTAGGTCGCACAGAGGGTAAGGTGGGTTGGGAATATAGAAAAGGAACCTGGGAATGTACTGTAAAAGTTTTCTTTTTAAACAAATTACAGAGTTTTCAAAGCAGATACCTTCCCATTTCTGCTGCAAGTTGCAGAGAAGGTGGCAAGACTTCAAGAACAATGTGAGGAAAGCAGCCAGAATGTGGAGGGCGTGTCAGGAGTGGGACTCGAGTTACAACCCGCTCTCCCTTACTGCTCTCCTTTCAGGGCATGGTGGCCGTGTCCGGCAGCTTGTCAGTGCTTCTGGATTCCATTATCTGTGCGCTTGGCCCCTTGGCCTGTCTGACCACACAACTACCTGAACTGAACGGCTGTCCCAAGCAGGTCTTGGTGAGTTTTCCTTGGATTTTTTCAACCAGACCCCTCGGGAGCCACAGAGGTCCTGCCTTAATGAGCTCTGTCGAGCACAGGCTCATAAGGCTTCCTGGCAAATGGTTCTCCCTCTGTCTCTTGGCCCACAAACATGGTACTGTATTGCTGAGCGCAGGCCATGCCTTCAGGGCAGCTAGAAATCCTGCCATTTCCCTAAACAGTCCTTTGGAGGGGCTGCAGCGCCTGTGTGGCCTAGTTGCTCTTCTACACACAAAGAAAGTACAGGAGTCTTCTGCCTTTTCTCCGAGGATTAATGGGAAGAGCCAGCAGAGAGGCTCCTAGCAGAGCAGACAGCAGGGTGCAGCTCCCGCTGCTTTCTCTAACTCCTGGTTTCCTTTCTCATCTCTTGCCTCTGAACAAAGAAATAGGTCTCGGGGACCTAAGGTAAAGTACTCTTCAGCTGAACCTTTTCCCTTGTTTTGCAGTCAAACACACTAGACAACATTGCTTACATCATGCCTGGACTGTGACAGCAAGGAGTCCCGGGACAGAGACCTTATCCTCCCCCATTGCTGGTTTGTGTATATATGACTGATCCAGATCCCTTCACTGGCCTCCAGGTGTAGGTTTTAAATTTTTATATATATACATATATATATATATATATATATAATGTACAATGTATACATAGGACTGCAACTACTTTGCTTTTAATAATTTTATGAAATGGCAAAGGTTTAGCCAAGAAGAAACCTTGGCATGAATATGGGCTTGGGATTCTTTTTTCTCCTGTGGTGGATAAATCTGCCTTAAAAATCAATGTAACTTGGGGGTTGGGGGCTTGTTCTGGGTGCCAAGGGCATCTCTTTATGGACAGCTAAAATGTGATTTTTTCCAAACTCAGTTGTACCTCCAGACCCATCACTGACCATTTGCCTTACCTGTCTTACAGTCGGAAATGTTAATAGGAAAGATTATGGGAAGATGCTAGTTGACTGAACGTACAAAGCCTTTCAACTTAAGTGACCTAGATAGGAAGTGATGAAATCGTTCCCATCATACAGTTACTGCAGTGGCTTAGGTGAACTTCGTAGGGGGTTCATTCCCATTCCTGCTATACAGGTGTCCGTGTCTCAAAATTTCTTGTAATCATCGGTACCATTAGCAGCCTCAGTAGGGGCCAAGGAGTTACGTGAGCCCCAGCAGCATAAAACACCTTGGAGAGGGTAAAGCTGCTATTGCACAAGTTGAATTGCATATATTGTGAGCTGACCCAGAATATTCCATCTACAGAACTAATTGCTGATGTCTTCCATTGGCAGCATTAGCTCAGTCACTGAGTCCTCAAAGGTTTTGCTGCTTAGTTGCCTGATGGTTGGGGAAGATGAACTTTGCCCAGCATGATTCTTGGGTTCATCCTGTTGGCTCCCCTGGTGGGCAGATAGATACCCAGTGTTCTGCATTCCACACATAAGTGAATTGCAAAAGAAAGTACTAGATTCTCATGTAGGTTTATTTATGTGCGCGTGTGAATGTGTTTTAATTATGTGTATTTAACTCTTTAAAATCTCTTAGATTTTAATTTATCCTGTAAATTCTGTATATATAATTTAATAACAAAAGCCTCCACCAGCAACAGCATGTGGAAGATACAGATTTGTCATTTCTTCCCTCCTTCTTTTCCTCTGGTCTCCTCTGAGAACTCCAAATCATCTACATTTTAAGGTATTGTGCCTCAAAAAGGAATCATTATGTCGGGATTCTAATTCTTTATAATTCAATAATGTCAAGAAAGCAAAGTTAAAAGGAATGTTACCATTCCCAGCTGCCCACTTTTCCAAAGAACCAGACTTTTGCTTCCCAGTTCCAAAGAAGACAGTGAGCACTTCAGGGTTGTTTTTCAATCTGGTGTGAGATTCCCTGCCAAAACCAAGCTCCGGGGTAACTGTGCTTTCTTCCCCTGGCCTAGACGGAGCACTACAGCATCAAAGTAGATCTTTGAGGACCGTGCAGCCAGCCTGCATCTGACTTAATCCCTTCCCTTCTCCCCACCAGTGTGGTCACAGGGCTTTGTTTCCTGATGGTACTCTGGCTGCTGATCAGCCCTCAGCTCAGAGCAGTTGTGAAGTTTAATTGGGGAAACAGAAGGAAACGGGTATGTTTGGGAACCAAAATCAAGAAGAGCTGAAATCTAGGTTTGATTTCATGTGTTAGACCCTGTGCCACGCCTCATCCGTACCCATGGAAGTTTCCTGTTTGACACAGGGTATATCAACAAGGGGCCTTGAAGACACGGATTAGTACGGAAGAAGTCAACCCTACCCTTGTCATTTGTGCACATTAATGAAATCCTGATGAGGACCTGCTTTTTGTTTGTTTGTTTTCCTTTAAAACCCAACCCTATTGTATTTGTATTTAAATTTGTACACATTTGTATAATAATCTGTACCTTGTGGTATTTGGTACTACTAGAGGAAAAACTTTGGATTCAGACCTTCTTGCAGTTTTTATATCATTGTTTTATTTTGTTTTTTAAATAAATTCTAGCGGTTTGATCCAAATCCCATTACAGTTGTATAAAGAAATAAAATTTTGTACTTATATTATTAAAAATCACATTTTTAATATTTGTAGTCCGGTCTCAGGTATCTTTTCCCTGTTCCTGACCCAAGTTGCTATGAAATTCTAAAACCTGTCATTTTCCACCTATATCCCACCATGATTTTCTTAAAAATTAGAAAAATCTGTCTGGACTAGAGGCCAAGTTTCTGATCTTAGCCGTTTTCCTAACATACATCTTGCTCTGTCTCTATTAACTTTTACATTGTAGAGTCTCGTGTTCTCTCTCTTGCAAACTAAAAACCAGTGACTCTGATAAGAGAAGCTCTATTCACTGATAAATGAAATTGTATGTACACCACAGTGTTGGCCTAACACAGGAAAACAGCAGTCGTGTATTAAGGGTCACATCTGAACCATGTGCTTTGACATGATATATTTCATGCTGTTTCATTCCTCACCTGACTAAATGAGTGATGTTGGATAGGTCACTTAGTCCTTATGGGCGTCTGAAGTCCCACCAGTAAAATAGTGTTAAGGTCACTCCCACCCCCAAGCCTGCGGCCAGCCAGCCTGACATGAGTGTCTAGAAACACTGTGAACATTTAATATATGGAGACCTGACCTCTCAAGAAAAAATTTCAATGCAAACCCAAGGTGTTACTAGTCAGAAATAGTGGAATATTCGATCAATGGGAAGGCTGACCTCTTATGGAGAGGCTACAAGAAAGAGACCAAGACTGCTGAGTGACTAGGAAAGAGCGATTTGCATGTTTTCTCTCTCTTAATCCTCCCACGAGCCTTATGAGTGTTACCCCCTTTACAAATGAGACAGATGCAGAAAAGTGCTCTTCCTTGGGTCGCACAGCTAGTAAATGGCAAAGCCAGAAGCAGCACACTGGCACAGCTGACCCAGGGCCTAGGCTCTCTTCTGCCCCAAACCACATTCACCATCGGATTGTGTATGGAATCCATCAGAATCCTTCTCTGTTATCAACAGTCCTGAGCAAATGAGATCATAGGAAGACTACCCAAGACTTTTCCATCGTTCAAATGTCTGCTTGTCCTGGCTGGCTTTTACTAGACAGGCCTCACTGTTCTTGTCATACTATTGTCTTTCAACTTTGGAGGTAGAGGATCTTGATTTTTGTCTAAAAGGACTTGAAGGATATAACAGGTTACATCCCATTTATGCAATATGTCAGTCTTAGGGACATATTTGCCCTCAAGAAGGCATTTGATATCAATATTTCTAAAATACTTAAAAAATTAAAACACTGTTTACTAAATGAGTTTGTTCCTTGTTAGCAAACACTTAAAAAAATAAGCTGGGGGGCGCCTGGGTGGCTCAGATGGTTAAGCGTCTGCCTTCGGCTCAGGTCACGATCCCAGGGTCCTGGGATCGAGTCCCGCATCAGGCTCCCTGCTCCTTGGGAGCTTGCTTCTCCCTCTGCTTCTCTCTCTCTCTCTCCCCCTCTGTCTCTCATGAATAAATAAATAAAATCTTAAAAAAAAAAAAATAAGCTGGGGACACCTGGGTGGCTCAGTCAGTTAAGCGCCTACCTTCGGCTCAGGTCATGATCCCAGAGTCCTGGGATCAAGTCCCACATCCGGCTCCCTGCTCAGTGGGGAGTCTGCTTCTCCCTCTCCCTCTGCCCTTCCCCCCTGCTTGTGCTCTATGTCAAATAAATAAATAAAATCTTAAAAAAAAAAAAATAGGTTCTCAGGACCCTGAGAACAAGAGTCACATGCTCTACCAACTGAGCCAGCCAGGTGCCCCTTAACAATCACTAGGGTTTTTTTTTTAATGTTTTATTTATTTATTCATGAAAGAGAGAGAGAGAGGCAGGGGGGGGTCTGCTTGTCCCTCTTCCTCTACCCCTCCCCCCACCCGTGTTCTGTCTCAAATAAAATCTTTGAAAATAATGAGCAAAGTAGACAGTATCCCAGCCCTCACGGAGTAGCTAGACTAGTGGGGAGAAGGGCATTTATGAATAGGTCTCTCTCATGAGCATTATTAAAACACTTCAAAGCGCAGGAGTACAAGACTTCCATAAAGTTCTTATACTATAAAGTTATCAGCCCCTGTGGCTGCTCAAACAAGATAACATAAGGAAGTGATTAAGTTTTAATTTAGGTTCTCCATCATCCTAAATTTGTACAATTTACTAGCCTTTCTAATTAAAATCACAATTACTGTGATCAATTAAATATGAAAGCCACCCTGCAGTAGCCCAGACTACCAAAGCAGTGGTTATTGTATCTTTTGGACTACATATGATAAAAAACAAAAACATAATAGGTCAGATCTGATCTAATGTGTGGGTGAAATACCTAAAACCTGGTACATAGGAAGGCTGAAGAAGATATTAGAATCCTAGAACTAGGAAAGGCCTTTGAGAGTCTTAAAATTTTTAACTTGGGGTCTACTACTGTACTTCGGGGACCCCAGAAAGTCCCTGAAGTTAAATTGTATCTCTACCCTTTTTTCTTCGGAAAGGTTGGTGGTTTTCTTCAGGTTCTCAAAGGAGCCTGTGACCTAAAAAAAAAAAAAGAAAAGAAAAGAAAAGTGTACAGTCTTTGATCTAATTCCAGCATCCGGAAAAAATGGAAGCTCGCTGTCTGAATCACACAGTAAATGGTAGAGATTATGAGTGTTACCCCCTTTACAAATGAGACAGATGCAGAAAAGTGCTCTTCCTTGGGTCGCACAGCTAGTAAATGGCAAAGCCAGAAGCAGCAC